GCTCGGATGGCGGAAACAATCGTATGAATGCAATACGACCACACACACTTGGGATGATTTTCAGGTGCTGAATCATCTGCGTGTACCTGCAGGTACAACTTGTACCTTGCGTCTTTGCAATGAGTTCACCACCATCTCTTGACGTTAATGATAGTCACGATCACCGTCGCCTCCGACCGCCATTCAGCAACGAGCAGATACCTTCAATGACATTCATGTAAATCTCAGATTGTCATTGGCCACAACCCCTCTTCTATAAACCCCAGTGTTTGAACGGCTGCCTCTGTATTGATTTCGGTCCTTCCCCATTAATCATCAATGTCATCATCATTGACCCGATATACGGCCACATTTCCCCTTTTTCGACATCATCTTATCACGATTACAACTCATGTGTTCGTGACTATCTCCTGACGATCACCAACTAATGAAGAAATGTCTCGGTTGAATTTGAGCTCAATCGATAAAGCCTGATCCTCCAATTGACATAGACACTCAACACAATCAGTCCAACGCGGGGACCGGCGTGGCGCTCTGGCCCCTGCGCAGCTGCGCTACCTTTATATTTTTATAATCGTGAGCTAAAGCAGCACCATTTGAAGCTTTATTCACTGACTACGCGTATTCCCGCTCGATAGCTGCATTTCTGGCGCGTCTCTTAGCAGCTTTAGTTAATCTTAGCCTTGGCCTTGTGCTGTGATATCTTGGCCTCGTCAGCCAATGTAATGATACCTCAGCCACTCATTGGGATGCTAGGCTGTGAGAAGACGAGGCTCGAGCGTCGCGTCCCTATCGAGATGAGATGAACTGTCAATTGAGGGGGTCATGCAGTGCGATTAAGACGGGACGATTTGACACCCATGATAGTAATCAGAAACGCAAGTACATACATGGTAAGCTAAGTGCTGCGATACTGACGATGGCTAGGCTGAGCCTTGTTTAACGGATTCAGCTTAGACTTGGAAATTGTGAAATGCAGGGGTATTGTGTCACCGTGACCCAATGCAAGGGATGATTTGAAGCCATTGACTGATGGCAGACCGCCAAATGAAGATGTTCTGTGCCTTTGTACCGCCTTGTATCGATTGTCTGTCCAAATGTACGTTGCACCTCCTAGTGCTTGCAGTGCGTGATATATGCACCTCACAAACTGACTTACATATGCAAGTCTCATAGCTGCAAGCCTTGTAGTTTCGAGTCTCTTGATCGATGTTGTCAGTTTTGAGGCATCCCCTTTTCACATTGTGCACCCGTTTCAAGCCTGTGAAACATCTCACCCTCCAATAACCTAGAATCAAGATCGAACTTCCATAGACTCATCGATCCTTTGTCAGTCTGACGTTAGATGTCCTCACTTCAGTCTCGATCCCCATCTCACGACATGTCTCTGATATCCCTTTGACCATTCGGCTGGGTCAAACAGTGACGTTACGGCTCGTCCCTGCAGCCTCAAACCTACTAATTCCCAGACCCTCTGAGCGAAACGATTGGGGAGCCGCGCGGATTTCACTCAACGCGACACAGAACTAGAGACAGATAATGCGATCTCATTCCCAAACGCCAAAACGCCTTTGATGCCATTTACATATGGTACATTGTCCTCCTTGGCGACCCTTGCTTCTCGGTGTTTCAGAAACAACCGCGACATTAAGGACGGGAAGATGTAATGACGTCGACGCGGTCGTGATCGTGGTCTCTTGCAACCTTCACTGGAGATCGATCTTGATGGCATCGATGATTTCCTCATGTCCGTGATAACTTTCCATACACGCAAAGCAAGGGAGCATGTAGAGCCTCATCTACAGCACGCCATCATTCTCACCAGGAAGTCTTTTCACACGCTTCTGTTCCCAATCGTCAAGGTCCTTGCCAGCAAGTCTCTGTTTCCAAGAATTAGTGAATCGCACATCTCAAGCAGCATTCTTCCTCCCGTTCCAAGACTGAGACGTACGTAGTACTCCTCCTTCATGTCCACCTTCCTTGCAGACCGGCGCACATTAAGTTCCTCGTCCTTGGTCATCTGGCGGACCTTGCGGTCGTAGCGTTCGTAGCGGACAGCAGTGGCTGGGGTGAGGACGAAGGAACCAGCGACAATGACGGTCATGAAGGGCAGGCCAAACATGAGGAAGGGATGCTTGTTCATAAGGGTGCGGTACCGCATGCCGATGCTGTTCATGTCGGCCGCGGACCGGAACTTTTTGCTCTGAAACGCCGGCATCGTGGGTCAATCGTCGGTCGGTAGGGCTGACGAAATCAGTGTAGGATATCGGAAGCTCCGTGAGCCACTTCGGACGCGAAAGGTTGCAGCGTTTATTGGTGAACAGACAAAGCGAGTTCGGCGGCTGTGGAGAGGCAATTGCGAGTAATGCCTGACTGATTGTACGGCTGATACACGCCGGGTATGGTCTGGTCTAACTTGGAGTGTGGAGAGATGAGGATTGACCAAAAGGAAGAGTTTGATTTGATTCACGAGGTCTGAGGTCAACTCCGACAAGATGAACTGACTTCATCGCCGAAGTCCCACTTTTACCGCTCCGAGCGATCTGGTATATGGCCTGTGCGCGTTTACTTTTTCCCGGACCGACGACACCATGGAGATTTCCGACTTGCCGGACCTCAAATTCCAGGGTCCAGACTCCACTATCAATGCTGGAGCCGAGACAAACGGCTCTTGACTAATGACAAAGAATTTATCACATCTGAAGGGTGTTTACCAACACAGACCACTTGTTATTTGCCACTAGCTACTATGAAATTTCCTTTCAGCCTCATGTTGACTGAAATTGAGGGTCTAGATGTCCTCATGTACCGTCTTGTACCACACCAAAAGGACGTATATGGCGGCCAAGCTGTTGAGACCGGGTGACTCCATGTTGCCTGGAAATAAGATGACTCACTTGTGCTATTGGGCCACGAATTCTGCCTGGCATATCCTGGAGAGTCAGTGACACTTCAACGGGCTTGGACTCGTGCGACCGCCCTGGGAACGCCTTCACGGCGCCCAACGTCAAGCACATGCGCCCGTGCTTCTTGGTTCAGACGCTCAGGTCTTCAAATTTCTTCCACAATCTGTTCCGTGCTTCTTCTAGTCTGGAACAGAACGGGCGGTTGCAAACTTTTCTCTCTCAAAGCCTGAACCTTGTTTGTTGATGGATGAAAAGCAACGGCGCTGAAATTTAGACTGCCTAGACTTTAGTTCGAATATTTCGGATATTTGGTTGAGTGGCTGATGCCTTAACGGGTCTATTGACCGTTGAAAGTGGCTGCGTCAATCAAGGGTCTTTCTTATTGTCGTCTTGGTGCCACGTTTACATATCGTTCAACAACGAGGTTGAGTTACCGAACGTGGCCGAGGAAGACACGCGTATGTTCCTGTTGTAACAAACCGTATTAGCAATGCAAAGTTATGAGAAGTGATAACTGTCAAATAATTAGAGGTCATACTGTATTGAACGAAACTAGCTTTTGTTCTAGTATCGAAAACATTAACATAGATACTTACTCCCAAGGAGCATTAGGCGGTATACCTCAAGTGAAGGGAGACTAAAGGCAGAAAAACAACTCTGGGCCGCCTGAAGGCCGAAGACGCCATCTGAATGTTAAACCTTCTTTTCATGACGCAGGGACCGTTGGGATCATCTCTTGCATATGTTTCCAGGAATACATGACGAGCGGAAAGCCTCCTTCAGCGTCCCAAACCCGGGTGAGTGCCACTCAATTCTGTTTCACAACCACTAGGGGTGATGCACAAGACATCACACAAGATGTGACGGCTGGGATGAGGTAGCGGCTCCTCATAGTTGTCGAGGTACAGAAAGCGTCCACAAAACCCAACCTCCAACTGGCAGACTTTCGGACGGCACACTGAAGTCAAACAAGCACAGGAAAAACATCCATAAATGATATTGCAAATCACTGACAGTGCTATATCTTTCCAGTGCAGAAAACCAGCAACTAGCTCCAAATTGACGCGTTTTAGGTTCCTTATTATACAGTTACCTCACTTATAAAATTCCAGAGTTACTCCTTGTTTCGAGGACTGGAAACTGGTCTCAACGATAACGCATGCTATTACCATTTACAGTACGGAGGCAAATATTATCCAGCAATTTCGAAGTCACTGAGTTTCACAAGTGCCTTAGAAAGCCTAAAAGAGGTAGCACGAGGCACTCATGTGTTTTTTTGTCACTCTCAGTGTCAGTCGATCACGAAACGCTTTCTTCCTTCTCTGTTACCAGGTACTTTCGGTAGGATGATGGTTGCAATGAGTTATATTACATAATTACATATAGTAACCTCTGTGTTCCAGCTTCTGATTTCTTCACGCTCCTCGAGATACTCACACCCAGGTGTTGCAGTTGGGGTAGTGTAACTCCTGCGTTAATCATGTAAGCTTTCTGGCTGCTGGAATCACCCCAAGTGCGCCATTTACTCCTAGTTATATATCCAATGTATGGTACATCGATCAGTAAATAAGATATGACACCGTCGAATTGCTCCAATCTTGACAAGTCTTGATAACTCCCGCTGATTAAAAATGACAATATTAGCTTGTTTCCTTTCGACCGGTGAAGTTATGTGAGCTAAGTCGCTTTCACCTAAACAATCATTGGTAGCTAAGGTACATTAAATCAATAGATATGTTTTATCCTGTCCTAAAACTATTAGCATTGTTTAATGTTGTATCTTGGAAATGCACATAATTCAATAGAAGAAATTAGTTGCATGTGTGTAGGGTAAGCAACTTGTCAGGCTAGGTCCTCTCAGTTTCTACTTGTATCTGCCACTAAACTCTCCACTTGATATCGACACAATCATTGGACAACCTAAGTTGAACCCTTCCATTCATGTCCAATCAACCACAGCAAACCAACGACGATTCAATATCCTACAGACTCTTCCTTCGCTACTTTTGCATCTTTGCTGCTCCATTAGCGCTTCTCTTCATATTCAAATCCTTGTCTACCAGGATCGAACCAGAGATTCAGCCTGAAATCAAGATGTCAGGAAAACTCCCTCTCGTCTTTCCTGCGGCATCCCGCCACACAGCTACCGTCATCTTTGTGCATGGCCTGGGTGACACTGGCCACGGCTGGGCGAGTGCTGTTGAGAACTGGCGCCGACGAGAGAAGCTCAATGAAGTCAAGTTCATTCTGCCTCATGCTCCTGAAATCCCCATCACTGTGGTGAGTTGACAGTTGAGGAGCCTCTTCAAGACTCAACTAACATGTTTAGAACATGGGAATGAGAATGCCTGGATGGTTTGACGTTGTAAGTTGCTCTGGTACGTTTGATTGGCTACCCTAACACGAAGCAGAAACAACTCGGCGGAGATGTTGATAGCCTGGTCCGCAATGAGGATACAGAGGGTATCAGGCGAAGTCAAAAATACTTCCATGATCTCATCCAAGAGGAGGTCAACTCTGGCATCCCCCCAGAGCGTATTGTCCTAGGAGGTTTCTCCCAGGGAGGCGCCATGTCACTCCTTGCTGGTCTCACCTGCACAAGCAAGCTGGGCGGTATTGTCGGCCTCTCATCGTGGCTTCTCCTGTCCAAAACCTTTGCCGACCTTGTCAAGCCCACAGATGCCAACCGCCAGACTCCCGTGATGATGTTCCATGGCGATGCTGACCCTATCGTTCCTTTCCAGCGTGGAAAGCTGAGTGCCGACCTGCTTAAGGAGCTTGGTTACGATGTGTCATTCAAGACTTACCCGTAAGTGACCAGTGCCATATTAAAAAGTAGATGCTAACTCTTCATAGTGGTATGGGTCACTCTGCTTGCCTGGAGGAGCTTGATGAGGTTGAGGCGTTCCTGAGAAAGCAATTGCCTCCTAAGAACTAAAGACATATATGGTGCAGACCTCACGAAGTATTGACTTGTGTACCTTTGGACACAGAACACTCTTGTGCGAAATAGAAGACAATAGACAGTCTACCAACCGCCAAAGGTTTCCAAAATCTTGATATCACATTATTCTGCCACGAGTTATGAAGGGGCCAATCATATAAACCCCATATGCCGCGTGCTCCATATCTGATATCGCTCATCGATACCTCGTGATGCCAAAAGATCTCCAAATTCTCCGTATGGATGGATGAATGCCCGCCAAATGACGTGCGCTCCACTACTGAGTGCCTCAGAACGCCCTACCGAGTTGCATGACAAGGCCGGGCCACTAAGTGCCCTAACGCCTAGCGCACGCGAACCTTCTATCGGTGGGGAGATGGGCTCGAAACAACAGACCCTTGATCCTGGACCACTTCTTCTCCAACATTCGCCAACCGAAACCTTGGTAGAGTCGATAATCTTGACCGTCACTCGGCAAATCCAAATTGACACATCACTTCATTGTTGTGAAGCACACAACTACATCTGAAGTTTTGTCGTTTGTGCGCCTTCAAGAACCAGTCTCACAAGCCCGAGCATAGCCCGATGATCGACCGCCCAAAGTAAACAAATATGGCCTCCGAAACAACATCGCGTCCAGTGTCGCCGACACCGTCACAGTTACCGCCCGTTCCGGGATCGCCAGTCTATTCTCTTGCCTCGACTGCAAACCCCTTATCTCAGTATAATTTGCCTTTGCCGCCGCCCCCACGATCTTCACATGCTGTCCTTACAAAAGCCGACCTAGAGCTCTCTCAGCAAGCTTACTCCGACCTCGTCGCCTCCGCAAAAGGCTACCGACTGGCACTCGCCGCATTATCAACAGCCGCATCGACGTTTGGATCAGCACTTGAAGCGTGCGCCAGGTTAAAGGAAGCTCGCGCCGAGCCCATCGGTCCCTCTGGGACTAATATGACAGCAAGCTTTACAACCAAGGGTTCCTGCACGGCCGATACGCTTATGTCCGCCTCCGGAGTACACTACCTTGTTGCCAATCACCAGCAGATCCTCTCTGAGACAGTATACCGATCCTTCGAAGTACCGCTGCTCCATGACCTGGACAAGTGGCAGACCGTTATTGACGATGAAGAGGAGACGTACAAGCAAAAGATCAAGGCACAAAGCAGAGAAATCAAACGACTGGAGAAAGAAGGGATGAAGCTGCATAAACAGAGGAGACGGGATGTTGGTCGATTTCGTGCACATTTAGTCGAGTTGACGACAAAATTGGATGGCTTAACGACGTTGCATGCCGATCATGCACGGACACTATTGAGGGAGAGCCAAGAGACAAGTGGGAGGATTGTCGAAGCCAGCTGCAGTCTTGTACGTGCAGAAGTGGACATATTTGAAGGTCTAGCGAGGAAAGGCTGGAGCGGAGGTGGTCTGGACGATCTTCTTGAAAAGGGTCAAGATTTATTCGCAACGGAAGAAGATGTTGCGAACTTGGGCAGTGGCAGTAGCGGCGACACGCCCAAGCTCTTCTCTATCCTCCCCCCTAAGAGCATACTGGCCGATACAGGATCGGATCCATCCAGGAGTCACGTTAGAGGGGACAGTCTTCTTATGGATACGGAACGGTATCAATCTCTAGCAGCACTGGCATCTGATTCTAGACCCAGTGGCGGTGTTATGAATGACAGTGACAGTGTCTTCTCAACCGACTTCAACAAACCCCGCAATGCAAGGCCGTTCTCGCCACAGCCTATTCGTCGCATTCCAACAGGTGTGACATATGATTCTCTAGGGGGTAGAGCAGAAGGCCTTGAAAACGGAGACGACCATTTGAACAGATCGGAGCTCCTGATGCCTGTTGTGGAAGCTGATGATGCAGGAGCAGAAGAGCAACAGAATGGAGATGGTGGGAATGAAAAAGAAAAAGTTCAAGAGGAGGAAACGAGAGGTCGGTCAGGATCACCAAGTTCGGTGAGAACAAGGGCAAACTCACAACCACTCATCACAGACGCTAGCTCAGCAGCTGCATGGAGCGGTGATGAAGGTAGAAGTCCAAGCTGAAACTGATTAAGTGGTGAGAACAACTTATCCTCGCGATCGGGGTTCATCTACAGGGGCGTTAATACGGGCATTTGGGAAATATTGTCTTCACGGAGAGGCAGCAGTAGATTTTGCAAGAGTAGTTTGCTCTTGATTGATAGTGTACAGAACATTATACGGATTTTTCACCCTCCATCTATTAAGCATGTCGACTAACTCAGACACCGTCCCAATTCCATAACACGCCTGACGCCATGATCGTTATTACGCCGTGGTCAATGATCAAATTCTTCGTCTCTCGTACATTGTATCACGGCCACCCGATGATCGTCGTCTTTTAGACGTCGACCCCGTTCGTTTGGACGCTGCTTTCAACACCTTTGGCTTCCAACGCCGACCGAACGTCCTCTAGTCGTCCTTGTCGGCATTGAGTACATCGCCGCTGAATAGTCCAAAAGTAGCGTCGAGCCACCAGATAAGCTTCCAGTAGAGACTGGCTTTGCTCCAGTCAAACTCGCCGGTCTCGGTTCGTGGTACTTCGTTACCTATCATGCTTCCACCGAACCACTTCACAAAGGGAATAGCATTGACGACCCGTTGCATCATAGTCTGTTGAGGTAGGAGAGCTTGCTCGGCGGGAAGAATGGTAGCGCGACGAGCAGTAGGGATGCGGCGGCAGAAAACGCTGTCGCCATCGCGGATTTCCATGGGTTCGATGCTTGATGTGGTAGCTTGAGGAAGAGGGAATGGCTCGGTGATCGTAGCTGTAGAAGCGTGAGAGTTGCTGATAGTTCCAGTATCCATGGTAAAGCTAGATGTCTGCGAATGGGGAGGAGATAGATCGAGGAGCCGGCTGTTAAACGATGTAGGTCCGCCGAAACTCTTGCGACCATTGGCAGTGGGAACAGCAGCAGGCATACTCTGTGAGCGCGAATGGTCTGGGATGACCTCGATATCGGGACAAGCCTCGTCTTTGGCGGGAGGAACACCTCGGTATGGCTCAGCATAAACCAGATGACCCAGTATCCTTTGAGGGCTGGCAAAAGTAGCAGCTTCGGCAGCTTCTCTGCTTTCAAAGGTGACTTTCACCCAGTGCTCTCCGCCATCTGCGCGGTTCACCATAGCTCGCTCATCTGCTGTCAGGTTGCGACGTCGCGTAAAGGCAGGATCGCGCAACTCAGATTTGTATCGGCGTTGGCTGGCAGGAGGTTCGCGGGGGTAATCCTCCAAGATCGCGCCGGCAAGGGATTCATAGTGGGAGATAGCAGCGTACTGCTGTGTTGATGATCGGTAGCCGCGAAGGATGAGCTCGACGGGTGTAGAAGTAACAGATCGCTTGACGGGAACCTCTTCTTGCATCAAGCCACTGCTCTTACGCTGAACAGTTTGAGATGGCGCTGTTGCAGCCTGGTTCGATACCCAGTCGCCAAAGAGTTTGTCTGCAGCAGCTAGTGTAGGATTTTCGCGACTGCGTGCGGGTGTTCCAGTACGCGATCGTGAGCGCCGTGTGGATTTGCCGAACGAACCAGACTCGGCGGCGCTGCGACGTGATCGTGCACTTCCTTGGGGAGCATCTTGTCTTTTTCGCGTTACGTTAGCATTGATTCAGAAGGGCGAAGAGGAAGACATACTGGTTGAAATACATGGCATATGGTCGCTTCACACCATCATCGCCAACGTAACACTCGTCGTCTGGAACGTTATGTAGAATGAGCGGAGCCATGATGAAGGCTTTGGTGGTAGAGGGAGCTGACAAACGTCGAGCAGGGGGTGTCGAATCGAGGGGCCGTACGGATGCCGCAGGAGGTACGAAACCCTAGATGGCGATGTTTGTCTGCACGAAAGGAGTTGAGGTTGCTGATGGTTGGACGAGCCGCCTGTTCACATGCCCAGTAGCAGTTTCTGAAGCTGCCCTGGCTTCCAATTTTTGGCGGGCTAATCTGGCAGTTGCACAGGCAACCGACCACTAAACGTAGCTGCGTTGGTGCAGTTGTGGGGCTAGTTTATCCGGCTCCGTGGACTTGAGCTTGCTAACTGTAATAGCAGTCAATGATTGTGAGGTCTTCCAGGCTTTCAACAGATAAGAGGCTCATTCTTTGTTCTACGCCCTTTACGTTCACGCAATTTAATACTCAAGTCTGCTTTATCCTGCGTCGTTCTAGGTTTGTGTGCTTATTGAAGCCAGCTGTGATTGGCTCCTGAACTTTGATTGTGTCTGTGACTAGAGCTTTCTATTCGTTTGCATAAGTTCACCCAGTCTATAATACTAGCTCCTCGTACGAGTACCCGTTGGCTCGAGCGGGGGGGGGGCCAACTAAGCAAGCTTAGTTGGGCATAAAACCCTGAGATATGCACAAAAGGTGGGACAGGAAGATAAGAGATAAGAAAGAGAAATATAATTATAAAATAAAAGATAAAATAGTTAA